AAAAAAATGAAATATCTAGGAGTCAATCTAACAAAGGAAGCAAAAGACGTCTACACTGAAAACTATAGCACTTTGAAAAAGGAGATTAAGGAGGATATAAGAAAATGGAAAGACAACCCTTGTTCCTGGGTAGGAAGAACCAATATAGTGAAAATATTCATACTTCCACAAGCTTGAGTCCAGCTGTGCTACTGAGAGTTCAAGGGCATCCTGGACTAGAGATAGAGACCCTGTCTCAAAAAAAGAAAAGCAAGCAAACCAAAAGAAAAACAAAGTAGACATGTAGAACCATGGCTTTTCAGTCTTTCTGTTCCAAGATATATACTTAAGGCTATATACTTTTAAGGGTTTTTTGTTTGCTTGTTTATTTTCTGAGACAATCTTTCTATGTTGCCCAAGTTGGTCTTGAGCTCCTAGGCTCAAGTGATTTTCCTGCCTCAGCCTCTGTAGTAGGTAGCAGGAACCATCACGATGCACTATCCTGTCCAGAATCATTTTAAAGTAATTCTTTCTCTTAAACCCTTGTGCTTTATTTTAAAATTATTTACGTATTTATTTATTTTGTTATTTTGAGACAGGGTCTTGCTATGTAGTTCAGGCTGGCCTTGGTCTACGTAGCCCAGGTCGGCCTCCCTGCCTCAGCCTCCTGAGTTCTGAGATTATAGGCATGTGCTACCATGCCTGGCCATCCATATGCTCTGATATGTATTTTTAATTATTGTGCTTAAAATTTTGTAATTTTTTGAGCTATAGTATGGGCTGTAGTGTACTGCTTAGTTTCCAAATTTTGGGGGATTTTCTAATTATTTTTCTTTTTTAAAACATTTTAATTAAGTATGTTTGATAAATCAAATATATTTAAGGCTGACAGTGTTACTTTTGAGATCCATATATATTAAGAAATGACTACTACAACCAAGCTAGTTTACATATCCATGACCTCACACACTTAAAACAATTCTTAATTTCTTCTGCTTAGAATCCTTTTATTACAGCACAGGTAAAAAAATACTTTTTTTCCTTAAATTCTTTTATTGGTACATTTTAGGTATACAATACATTTACATCTATCATTGGGTGCTTATACCTTTACATGATGTATCTTGGTTCTTATTTTTTCCCCATTACCTGTGCACCCTTCACCCCCTCCACCCTTCCCTATTTACAAAGACTTTTTCTCCATTTTTTCCTTTTCTCATAATTTTTCCTTTCCCTACTTTCCTTTCCCCCTCCCCTCCCACCACCCCTACCTCTTTGGACCTTTTCTTCCTATTTCAAATTATCAATTATTAGTTTTAATCATTTTAATCCTTATTTATACTTTCAGTTCCTCACACTAGAAAACTATTCGGTATTTACACGTGTGTCCTATTTATTCCACTTAAGAGGATGGCCTCAATATGCATCCATTTAGCTATTAATGTCTCTAGTTTCTCATTCTTTATGGCTGAGTAGTACTCCATTTCATAAAAAAACTACATCTTTATCCAGTTTCCAGTTGATGGGCATTTGGGCTGTTTCCAAGCTTTAGTTATTACGAACTGTGCTGCTATAAACATGGGTGCATATATATATCACTGTGGTATGATTCTTTTAATTCTTTTGGGAAGATGCTCAGCAGGGGAATATCTGGGTCAAATGGGATCTCTAGTCCTAGTTCTTTGAGGTATCTCCATACTGATTTCCACAGTAGTTGCACCAGTCTGAACTCCCACCAACAATGGAGAAGGGTTCCTTTCTCCCCACACCCCTGCCAGCATTTGTTATTGGTTGATTTCTTGATAGCAGCCATTCTTTCTGGGGTGAGGTGGAATCTCAGTGTTGTTTTCATCTGCATCTCTTGAATGACCAGAGATGTTGAACATTTTTTCTTATGTTTATTTGCTGCTTTTACTTCTTTTTCTGAGAAATATTTTTTCATTTCAGATGCCCATTTTTGAATTGGGTCTTTGAATTTTCGGGGGTCTGATTTTTTCAGTTCTTTATATATTCTAGATAGTAGTCCTTTGTCTGAGGTACAGCTGCTAAAAAATTTTTCCCACATTGTAGGCTGTCTCTTAGCTTTGTCGGTGGTTTCTCCTACAGTGCAGAAGCTTTTTAATAAGATGAGATCCCAGTTGTCGATTCTTTGTGCTAGTTCCCATGCTACTGAGGTTTTGCTCATAAAGTTTTTTCCTATGCCAATGCCTTCAAGAGTTCTACCTAACTTATCTTCCAGCAAGTTTAGTGTTTGTTTTAATATTCAGATCTTTAATCCACTTCGATCTTAGATTAGTGTATGGTGATAGGTATGAGTCTAGTTTTAATCTTTGGCAGGTTGAAATCCAGTTTTTCCAACACCATTTATTAAAGAGGCAATCTTTCCTCCAGTGAGGGTGGTTGGCTCCTTTGTCAAAGATGAGGTGGCTGAGTGTGTCTGCAGTTGTTTCTGCTAAAAAAGTACTCTTAAACACAAATAAAAATGTACTCAGCATGTCACTCCCAAAGACAGATTAAAACAGTTAAGAGAACAACACCATGCTGAGTTTTTCATCTCTGCACACTAACACATTTTTGAAAACAGAAAATTGGCTGTACCGTATATATTGTTTTATAACCTGACATTTCACTCAACATAGGGGAAACATTCCCCCCACCCCATGAATTCATGCTAACATCATGACCTCTAAGCATGAGGATTCATGACTCTTTCCCACCCATTACTCTGCCTTACATTCTTCCCCCTCCCCCTCATTTCCTTTCTCTTGCCTAATAGTCGCTTTCATTCTACTTTCTTGTTGTCCTTTTTAGATTCCACACATTAGGGGAACATGTCATCCTTCTCTTTCTGAGTCTGGCTTGTTTTGTTTAACATGAACATCTGCAATTCCACCCATTTGGCTGCAAATGCCATAACTTCATTCTCCTTCGTGGCTGAATAGTACACCATTGTGTACATTACCACACTTTCCTTATCCATTCATCTGTTGATGGGCACCTAGGACGCTTCCATATCCTGGCTACTGTGGATAATGCAGTACTAGACATGGGCATGCAGCTATCTCTATAGTATGCTGACTTGCATTCCTTCAGGTATATACCCAGGAGCGGTCCAGCTCCATCAAATCTATATATCAAATCTATATAGCTCTAGTTTTAGTTTTTTGAGCAACTCACTGCTGATTTCCATAGTGGTAGTATTAATTTACATTCTTACCAGCAGTGTGCAAGGCTTCCTTTATCCCCCTCGTCAGCACTTGTTTGTTTTCTGTATTGTTGATGCCAGCCATTCTACCTGGGTAAGAAGGACTCTCAGTGTATTTTGATTTGCATTTCCTTCATAGCTAATGATGCTGAATATTTTTTTCATATACTTATTGGATATTTGAGTGGCATCTGTTCATGTGTCCACTTATTCATTGAGCTATTTGACTTGTTAAGTTTGTTTTAAAAATTCTCTATATATTAATCCTTTACACAAGAGTAGATAGCAAATGTTTTTTTCCCATTCTGTAGACTGTCTCTTTATTCTCCTGGTTGTTTCCCTGGCTACTGATGAGTGATATTAAAGTCAAGCTGGACTCCTCATTACCCTCAGGACAGAGGCTGGGGTTCTGCCTTTCAGCTCTCTGAACCACAAGGACAGAAAGAGGCTTAACTCCCTGCAGCCCTCGACTGTTACGACCAAGTGGCATCAGGCTGGAATTGAAGCATCTCAACTGCTCACTTAGTCCGCAAGTCAGATTCTTTGCAGTTGAGTTCCCTTTGGCTCTCTAGACACACACAGTAAATTGTTTTTTAAACTGGCATTTATTTTCACTTGACTCATTTTTAAAGTCTTCTTCATTTTTTCCCCATTCTCTTCATTTATAACTCTATTAGCTTGGAGACACCATTCATTTTGTAAGCAGTGCTTTACACACATTTCATCTATCAGGACTAATTTTGCTGAATGCACCACCAAATCAATACATTAAAAACAACTGTAACACTTCATTAATCGAAATGCTGGCTTCCACAGATGTGAAATGGCCCCACCTTAGGAATTCCCTTCCTTTGCTTGTGAGTGTTTGTCTATTTGACTGAAATATAGAAAGTGATGTAAAATGCTGTCATTCTATTAGAATACCCATGCAGGATTTGAAGGTGCAATCCATTATAATTAAAGCTAATTAATTATTATATGGTCAAATGAACAGCAAATGCACATGCAAAATCTAAAAAGTTAATTATCTGAAAATTGGTTAATCAATTGTGCATTCAGATGCACATTTGTTTTAGTATGCAGACACTTTGCACTTCTATATGGGATTAGTCTAGATTAAGAAAGCCATTAAAGGCAAACATTTTCAAAATATCTCTGTTCTATGGGAAAAGAAAATAAATGAGGATCAAATGGATCTAATTCTTAAAAATCAACCCTTAGCATATCATCCACATTAACATGTATACTCATTTAAAGTGGCAAAAGGAAAGGAGTCCTGATTTCCCACTTTGTGGGAGGTATTCAGCCTGAATGTAACCAAAAAGTAATCTCCACAGTTAGTGGCCTACCACCCCATGAAATCCCCCAAAGGCCAATGTCCAGATGGGATGACTGCTCTCCTTCAAAAATAAAGCTAGAATCATGTAAAGATGCACAAAGCCCCAGCCAGCCAAGTGGTTTCAAGCAAGCGCTTTCCATCTTGTAATTTTACAAACAGGATATCCCCAAAATAATAAAAGAAAGAAAAAAAAAGGCAGGGGTGGGGGATCATCACAGACAGACATGTTATCAGCAACAATAAAAACTCTAAGGAGGAATAAGGTAGAAAAAGGAACCAGCAAGAAAGCTGGAAAAGAAGATAGTTGGAAACAGAGGAGGATAACTAGAATAATCCAGAATCACACAAACCAATGGCAGACATGGTAACTTGTAGTAAATCCTTATGTTAGTAAGGGGAGAGGAAGAGCAGAGCTTCTGAAAGAGCTCGGTAAAGTTAGGTATAAAACAGGACCATGGAATTAGAGTTAGGGGTAAATGTAGTGTGCAGTTAAGCAGAAGGGGTCCTGGGGGGACACGAATGGACCATCAGTGAATGCCCTGGTCGGGAATCAGCACTGACCCGTGAAGCCTACAGTGTGTCCAAGGCCCAGGCCAGGCGGCATGAGTGATGACTGCTGCTCTCAGGGAGCTGAGAAGCAAGAACACCAGTAGGCGAAGGCGGTTATACTCAGGGAGGGAACACAGCTGTCAGCAGGCGGCAGACAGGAAAAGAGCAAGCCCCAGGGATGCAGGATGATGACTAGGCCTTACCGAAAAGTAGCTGTGGGCTTGGATCCCCAGACACGCAGATTTATGCAGACAGAAGAAGGGCGAGAGAATAGCAAGGTGCTGAGAAAAGAGTGGTGCTACAGTGACACAGTGCAAGGCCTCCCTGATTTCGACTCTCTGACCCCCATTTCTGCCCACAGAAGCCACAGCGCTGGGTAGCAATGGAGCACCCCTGAGCGGGGTGGGGCAGCACCCTCTCCCACCTCAGGGTCTGGACTGTGATCAGTCCACGTCAGGAATGCGATTCTCTCCACCATGGTCATCGGTTCCGCTCCATGGCCATGTACGTCAGTTCTGCCGTGGGAAACAAGACAAAGTTTACTTGTTTTCTCAATGAAAAGGTGCAAACCTAGCTGACCTAGCCTTTTCTCCTTTTGGTTTTTTCTCTTTGTTTTTAAAATGGTCTCTTTCTTGAAGGAGCAGAAGCTAACTTGTAGCCATTTTTATTTTTCATGGCAGGAAGTCCTTTTGTTTTTAGTTTATTAGGGCTTGCGTGTAATACATTTCCCATTGTGATGGAACGTTGGTAGACAAACATGATGCTCTTAGTTCCTTTTTTATCCCTTATCCCTCCCTCTCTCCCCAGATCTCTTGATCCTCTTCCCCTCTGAGAATAATCAATCTATTTCCCTACTTCCTGTTATCTTTTATTTTGCTCTTTATTTTAACTCTGGGTTTCTCACAGAACTGAAAACCAAAACATGAAGTTTCTCTGAGCAGAAACGTAGAAAGAACCTGGGTCCTTGGTCCTTGTCGTACAAATGGCCCAGGCTGCCCAGATCTCGTCTTTTGACAAAACAGCAACTCTCTGTCACAATTTAATTTTCGTTGTTGTTGTTACTTGCAATTCAATAATTCAAAATACATATTGGTTTTGAGTAATTGTTACCACAGGACACTGAGAAGTTGAATGGGAAAAGGCCAAAGGAAGTTTTTGCAGGAAGGAAAGACAGGCTGTCTAGAACACCTGACCTTTTCAGAACAACGTGCTGATAAAAGATAGAAAAATATCTCTCCTTTTTATTTGTCCCCCAGTACTGGGGATTAAACTCAGGGTCTCTGTACTGAGCTGCATCTCCAGCCCTTTTTTATTTTTTATTTTGAGATAGGATCTCAATACATTTTCCAGAGTTTGCTCAAATTTGAGGTCCTCCTGACTCTCAGCCTTTCAGAGCTCTGGGATTAAAGGAGCTCGTTACCATCACTGGCTGAAGAATACTCTAACTGCATTCATTAGTTGGCAGGATGTGAGGAAGAGTCAGGCCAGAGCCCGAGTTGGCCCTGTGTACCAAGGTAAGTGAGCAGTGAACCGCAGGCTCCTTTTCATACCACGGGAACACAAGCACTGTATTTTGGTGAGATGCTAAAGTTCTAGGAAGTGGGAAAGAGCACGGAGGCAGCTAAGCGTGACCAGGACTGAAGGTGAGTATCTGCTGAGAAAACCCTCCCCAAAGCTGTGGTGAGGACGGGCTCTGCCCCACTCCAGGCAGCTCTGCTTCCCCTTCTTTTTGAGAAACGGTAGGAAAAATTACTTCGAAATCGAGGAGAAAAAAAATAATCCTTTGATATTTGTAACCACACTGCCGGTTCTGTGTCCCAAATTCATCCCACCTGCATGATCAAAAATCTAATCTGAGAATTCAAGGTACTCTCATGAATGGACATTGAGAAATGATACGTGGAATCACACACCTTCAAGCCAAACATCAGGACCTCTTCCGGGAAGTTCCAAGGTATAAGAACAATGTATATTTATACATATAAATAAATATATAAAGCCCAAAGGAGAAAACTATCCTAGGGAGAAAGGAGACCAATTTGGAATTACAGGACACAGCATATACAACTATGTTAATGTATTTCAATAATTAAAATTTGAGAAATTTATAAAAGCACAAAATAAAAACAGAACTCTTAAGAAATTAGAACTATAATTATTAAAATTTAAAACTTAATGAACTGATTAAATGGTAGATTTTACACAATTAAAAAAGGAAACATTTTCACTGTGCATGTAATTCTAGGTTGCAAGGTATTTTTGTTGTTTTTGAGTGTGTTCACATTTTTTCTTGGTTACGGGTCGCATTCCTGCTTTGTGTAATGTCTCATAATGTTTTATGTATGCCAGACATTTTGTATAAGGTATTAACAGACACTTAAGTAACATTTGCCCTAATGAAGGACAGAGGCATTTGTTACAGAAATTCATGTGCTCTCTTTGATCTCATTGGTGGTTGAGTTGGGTTAATCGTCTTTATCAAATTAAATAAATTCATATATGCTTTCTCACTTTTTAGAAAACCTTTTGACAGTCCAGGTTATTTTTAAAGGTGGCTTAAAGAAGTCTGTTTAATGAAATTTCATTTTTCTCTTACATGTCTCTGTAATGGGCAGTGATAAGGCTCATTCCATTATGCTCAAAGCTATACTGAAAATCATTAGGTGTACCTTGACGTGGCTCACTGCAATTCACGGTGACAACACGGCGCTATCTGGGGAAGGCTCACAGGCAATTTGTCGATTTATTCTGGCTGCTTAGCAAATGATTTCCCTTCTCCCTTGCTGGATTTTTCCACTGGAGTGGCTGGTGGGATGTGAGGTCCCCTCTCTTTATCCTGTCATCATCAGGACCTATAATTGAAGGGCAGCTTCAGAAAGTTAGGCCCAGCTACCTGACCCTCCCGCCAGAACTCTATTTTTTTTTTTTTTTGGTACTGGGGATCAAACTCAGGACCTTGAGCTTTCGAGGCAGATATCGGAACCACTGAGCTAAATCCCTGGACCCTGCCAGAACTCTGAATGTTGAGGTCCTGAAACAAAGCGCTAAAATAAGTATCTTAAGTACAGTGATGGCTACAGCAATGCCCACTGGGCCAGAGGCTCAGGGTTGGTCGGGTGACCAGACCACCCCTGCCTGGCTGGCTCTGGTCTCATTCTGTTGCCCTGAATCCATTAGCTTCTGTCCATTTCCTGAGCTGCTTTCTTTATTCAGTCTTCTCCCTGAATGTGTCATCTACTCAATTTTTTGTTTTGGTACCGGGGATCGAACTCAGGTCCTTGCGCTTTCGAGGCAGGCAGCGGAACCACTGAGCTAAATTCCCGGCCCCTACTCAATATTTTTATTAATTATCCAGGCTACATTTGGCTTTCATGCCCTGAGAGCAAGAACTCTAAGTGATATGGGTGCCATCTAAATGCCAGGGCCCGGTCTAAGATGCTGAGGTCATACAGAGGAAGACACAGTTTCTGATTACAGAAAAGTACTCTGATGTGGAACCAGAATATCACACAAGCCCCTAACAACATGCACAGTGGTGTGTATGCGTGAACGATTCTACAGGAGGGAGCTGGGGGCTGTGTTCCAGGGCAAGAGGCATCAGGAGGTGGACAGACTGCATGCCTGGGAGCCAGGCGCTGCTCATAGCTGGCAGAGGAAAGTCACCGAGGGGAGTGCTGCGAATGCTGTCCTAGGCAGACAGGAGAAGGGCTCTAATGCCCTCCTCAGGGATTCCAGAGAAGTCATTCCCAAGAGCCAGAGTGGGAAACCGGCAGAAGACAAGACGGAATAGGTAGATGGATTCCACCCCAGGGCACTGAGCATTTAGAGGAGAGACTAGAAGATTCTTAGAAAGATATTTCTGGAAAGGAGCAAGTATATGAGACTGAGTCAAGAGGCAAAGAAACTAGTTAGGATTGTGGTGTTTCTTATAGAAAATTTTGTATGTTTTTCTAAAAATAGTAAGAACTTCCAAGTAGCTTTTCTTTGTTCATGGTCTTCAGGGTATCTGTCATCAAGTTTCCCTTCTATCTCATGCCTTTACTGGAGGTAATAAAAGATCTCACCTCAGCAGTGTGAATGGTTGAACCGACTCTTGAAGCATGGGGAAACAAGGGGAGTGTGAGGCCTCGGGTGAGCCTGGAGACTGGGAGAGAAGAAATCCTTCATCCATGGTCGAGAAGCTGTAAGAGTGAGGCTGATGGTGCCACAGGAAGCAGCAGGGCCCAATCATTCAAGGCAGGAGAGTGATCATACTGAAGAGGCCCTGGTGTGCAGAGGCCTCACATGCAGAGCGACCTCTTCAAGGAAGATTTCCCCCCCAGTGACTGTCCCCTTCCTGCCCTGTGCCAGGCTGTCACAAGCAGGATCATGAGGAACAATTATGGTAATGTGTTTCCTGTTTATCTTTTTGCTGAAGTCTATACATGAATTTTTTGAAGCCACCATAAAAGACTTTGATAAGGGGTGATCAAAGAATAGGGTGAATGTGTACATTTAAAAAATTTATTACAGGAAAAGACACATTGCCATGAATCCCCCTCCAAGTATTTGCCTCACTTTGAACACATTCATCCCATTGTTCCTGCTACTTTCGGAAGCATTTCCGGAAGTCCTCTTTCATGAGTGTCTTTATGAGATGTGATCAAAAATACATGTGAATGCTGCTGCCAAGTGCCATCCAAGGGAAAGGCAGGCTCATAAAAACACAACAGCATCTCCTCTTCCACCTTACTCACTGGATCTGGCTCCATGAAATTCCTGGCTCTACCGAAAGTCAAAATGATCATGAAAGGGAAACATTTTGAATTCAGGGTATCGAGGCAGCCACAACAGCACAACTAAAGGCACTCGGAAAAGAGGACTCCAGAGCTGCTTCAGAAACTGACAAGAATGATGGGACAAGTGTGTTCATGTGAGGGGAGGATCCTGAAGGGGCTTTGTGTCAGCATGTCTGTTACTGTAATATATATCCTGATTACACTGCTTAGCTGTGTGTAGGCTCCCAGAGCAATCCCAAAGTCCTGTCCTGAACACACTTTAGCTGAAACTTTCTGGAAAGTGGAAGGAGGTTTGGTGCTGATGGAGGAGAGGTGGCAGCAGAAGTGAGGAAGCTAAGGGAAGAGGCAAGAGGGGAGGGGAAGGAGGAGGCCAGGAACAAAGAGGAGGAGGAAGTGAGAAATACGGGAGTCTCACAAGCAGGGAGGTAGATCAGATCAAAGGAAAACAATAAACTGAGCTAATTCCGGCCACTATTGGTTTCAGCAGAGCTATGGGTCGGGTAGGAGTACGAACACTCTTTACAGCAATCATTCCAATCATTGTGAAGTGTTTGTTGAATTAAAATAGCTTAAACAAACTTAGATTTTCAAAGGAGACAGGAAGGGTGGGGCTGCAGAGAATAAAAAGAGAGCTGCTGTAAGAAAAGATGATGAAAATGGTCAAGTGTGGTTGGTCCAGAAGAAGGAACCAGTCACTTAGAAGAGAGGAGGTGGAAATCAGGAGAACCAGGCTAAGGCTCGGAGAGGCTGTGTGGTCAGGGACAGTTAGCTGATGGGTCCCAGAAAGCGCAGGAACGAAATCTGCTCTTCGGAAAGCATAGCTGTGCGTTGCTTCTCTTGTGACTTTGGTTCTTTTGGATACTGCAGACTCAGGACGTGGAATTGTTTGGGGTCTGATTTCCTTTGTTTCTTATCATAACATTTAAAATTTATATGAATTGTATCTTGGCCTAGTCAGAGAACAGCTGGCCATAACTTAAAAAATATCTATAGGTACATTTCTGCCGGGATACCCACCACATGGTGAACAGCGGCAACTTTCGAGAGTCAGACTGGCGGTGACTTAGAATTAATTGTTCCTTTTTAATATTAACTTTGTTTTAAATAGTTCTCTTCTTTCCCTTCAGTACTTGATTTTTTTCTGACATTACAAATGCATGCATGCTTGTGAGATTTATTGCCATTTATTTAACCAATGGCCACTGATCAGATTTGAGGTTGATTCTAAATTGGTGCCAGGACAGCTATTATTAAGATGATCATGCCTGTATGTTTCATATGCTTCTGTATTACTAGAGGATAGATTCAATATAGAATTGTTAAGTGATAATATTGTGTGCTTTTATTTTGAGAAATATTCTCAATCTTGGCTAATTTAGAAACAAAATTAATTTTCTCTTGTTCTAAATTAAATTATTAGTGGGCGGGGGATTTAGCTCAGTGGTGCCGCCACCTGTCTTGAAAGCAAAAGGTCCCGAGTTTGATCCCCAGTACAAAAAAAAAAAAAAAAGAAAAGTGAAATAAATTAAATTATTAGTGAGATTGGGAATAATTTTGATTGTTAGTGAGATTAGGAATCATTTTGTATCCTTAATGATGGTTATTTTAAAAATCTAACTTATAAGAGTTCTATATACTGAGAAGTGATATTTACTTCTGCTATACATGTGGAAAACATTTTTCTCTCAGTGTACCTGATTTTCTGAATTTTTTATACTGTCTTTTTCTTGGTACCAGGGATCAAACTCATGACTTTGTGCTTGCGAGGCAGATGCAGTGCCACTGAGCTAAATCCCCGGCCCTGATAGGGTCTTTTAACATAGATTTACTTGGTTTTACAGTCAAATGTGACTATTTTTTTCTTTAAGGATTCTGGGTGTCATATCCTGATTAGGAGGAGTGGTAGATATATTCTCATCGACATCACTGCTATGCTACTGCTGAATAGTGGGAACTCAAAAAGTGGCCCTAAGATTATTTGTTTCTTCTTTGCAAAAGAGAATCTTTTGTCTATGTTTTGTACTGAGTAACTACTTTGAAGACAATACATATTGTAACTCTTAATTTGTTATGAAGTTTTGTTTCATTTTTTCATAAGACAAAAGAATTATTTTACAAAGTTATAGGTTGGGCTGGGGATGTAGCTCAGCAGCCCCATGCCTGCCTGGCAAGTGCAAGGTCCTGAGTTTGATTGCTGGTACCAGAAAAAAAAATCCACAAGGTTATAGTAGACAGGTTATAGTTATAGTTAACAGTTACAGAAAATGTTACTCACCTTAAAATTATTAAAACGGCCTCTGCTGTGTTTCCTTGGGGTACATCATTCCCTCTGGCTGTAGTTTCTAGCAGCTACTGCACACAGAAGGCAAAGTGAAGAATAAGGTTAAAAGATATACTTATCTCTTTCACACACACACACACACACACACGTCCTCACTGTGCAAGTCCACGCTCCTTGTAGAGAATCAAACATTCCCTCCCTTCCTTCTACTCTTTTCCCTCATCCCTTTCCCTTTCCCCCAACCCCCTCTGTCTCTGTCTCTCTCTCTCTCCAGATATCTTGTTGTGTATCTCAGGCTCTCCATTTGTCCCCTGTTGTCAGCAAAGCAGTCACAGCAGAAGTTTCTGCCCCAGCAGTGCCCTAACGACCCCCACGCGTGACTTCTCCACAAAGGATTAGGGGGCATTATGACTGGGATGAAGGCGCGCATGCTCAGAGGCGGGCTCTGCAAGGTGATTGGAGGCTGCTGCTGAGCTCACAGCCCAATGGCTGACAGAAGGCGGGGCTTGGAAGGACGAGGTGGATTCTGGTCACCACCGGAAGAGTGCGTCTTGTTCTTGTGCTCTGCTTCCTGCGGTCACCATGGAGAGAGCAGCTCTCCCTGTCTCTGCACACGCGTTCCGCCTCCTCACTGTCACAGCTCAGTGACAATGGAGCTGCGTGACCATGCACTGGAGCCTCCAAAACGGTGAACCAAAATATTTCTGTCTTCCTTCAGCCTTGGGAGGTCATTGAGGAGCTGAGAGATACTCTTCTAGCTTCGCCCAAGTGACTAAGAAGAGACGGTGAGAGGTGAATGAGAGGAGATATGTAGATTGCTGTAACTTTCCTTACCTCATACAATTATATCTGCTCCGCCCCCCCTTTAATGCTTAGCTCTAACAGAACTTTCCCTGCCATTTAATCACTGTCCAAGATAAGCATTTCTGTTTTGGAATTTTCATAGCCCTTTATAATGTAGCTGTCTTCCTCAGATATCCCTCTATCTTGCGTCTAGCTGTAACTAGTCATTATTTATTTTTCTTAGACTCTAAACTGGTGCTAGGATACTTGTTGAAGGCCACTCAGCGTTTCCCTATAGTGGTTGCTATGACGATTTTATTCGTCTAAATTGGTAAAAACGCAGTCCAGAACGGAAGGAAATAATAGAAATTGAGAATTATACCTCAGAATGACAGGCAGGTTTAAAATAAGAAAAGAGGGCCCATAAAATTGTTTACATGCTGATAGTGGCCGTAGCAATTCACTTGCAAGGGAGAACAAACAAACAAAAAAACGCTCAAACTAAGACACTTTCTTACTTTGGCTGTATGAATATTTGGAATAAACATACTCTGAGTATTATGATTTATAGCCATCAGATCTGCTCTTGAGGGATTGGTTTTTAATTTTTAAACATTTTATAAATGTTTAAGAAATTCAAGTTCAGTAAGTAAGGCTAACAAAATAGTTTGTTGAATGAAAAAGAGGAGAATAACAGCTGGTTTGTACTTTAAAGTTTGTGATTAGTTTTTCCATCTGCATGGTATTTGTCATTCTTCATAATGGTGTGATCCAGGCAAGTCTACACTTGTAAATACAACACATCTTCACTGATGTTCTTCATGCAAATTTTTAGTCTGGTACAGTAAATGTAGAAAAAAAGTTACATTTTGTATTAAAGCAGAATTTGATCTTATCAATAAGAGCTAAAATATTTTGCTCTTTTTTTTTTTTTTTTTTGGTACTGGGGATCGAACTCGGGTCCTTGTGCTTGTGCAGCAGGCGGCGAAACCACTGAGCTAAATCCCCAGACCAAGCTAAAATATTTTGTACATTGTTACTGTTTTTGAACCAAAAGGACTGGCTTTGGGATTCTTTGATGCCTACATTGTAGACACAGATCTTCTGGATAGCCTATATGGCTGTGCTTGAATTAAAGCAACGTGCTTTGCTTAAATGGAAAAACAGCTCATTAAGTTGCTATCATTCCTCAGTCATCAGCAGAGAATAGCCAATAATTGATTTGGAAAGGGAGGGGAATCGTTTCCTAAGCTGGCACTGATTTTTTTTTTTATTGGATCTGTCTCCTGATGATTAACACAGAAATTCCTCTAGCAATTATAGACTATCTTATAAATGACTCTCATAATTTACAGCTTGCCACAAGCAGCTTCAACTCAAACATGTGTGTAATTCACTGTTCTGGCTCATTTCCTTCATCTCTCCCTCCCCACCCTGAGTCTGACCATCTCACACATGTGAAATGCTCCAGTCCAAGAGAATGTGTTCCTCTTAGCCAGCTAATGGGAGCCATCACACAGAGAATACTATGGTTGACGTTTATGGATGCATTTGAATGGAAAATTGGGGTATTCCTGATGAGGTAATTCCATAGATGAGCCCCACACTTCATATATGATCACTGATTTCAGCCTACTACCCATTCTATCAGTTTTCTTCCTCTTCACCTTTAAAAAAAAATTATCAGGATTAAGGGCAAACAATTTAGTTAACAAATTTGAAGGTTTCAAGAAGGCTGAATAGAGTTAAGAAACACTCACCTGCCCCTGCACAAAGAACTGAATTGACATGTGTGTAGCTTCATTTTTTAACCACTGGAGAGCACTGGGAATCAGGGAGACAGAAATGGGAACTTTGTAAGAGTCAGAGACCTGGAACCACAGCATAATAAGAGACACAAAATTTATTGGTACCTGCCACTCTGGTTCCACAGCTTGAGGGGTCCTTCCCTTTGCAGGAGTGAAGAGGGGGTCTCTGTGAACTATTAACATGTGGATGCAAGGCATGCCAGCTCCTGGAAAGTTTGACCATCGCCCCAGGCTGCCTGCCCTTTAGATAAGATCAGCAGTTAGGCTTCCTCACTTTGGAAAAGGATCCCCCATTATGGATGGGATGGCCAGGTGTTACCTTAAAGGGAGCTTTTCTGAGAACTTGTGGTGCTTTCGGGGTCAAAAGCACTGCACATTCCCATCTCTCATACCCGACTGAGCCCTCTCCTCCACTGCAGGGGTTTGTGGATGGCCGCTTCTTTAACCTGACCTGGGCCAGTGGACTGTGTCTGCTACCCAAACCAGCTGAGTGCTGTATATGCAGGGGATGCTGCCCTGGAGAACCAAGGGACAGGACAGGGACCCTGGGTGCTGAGGCCACAGGAGTGGCCGTTTGTGTGGAAGGCAGATACCCTGAGGCTCTCACTGCCCTTCCCCCTGGACTGCTTTTGGGGAGCTGTGGCTGCCGGGTGGGGCAGGAACCCACAAGCCAATGGGACCTGCAGCAACTGGGTAAAGGAGGTGGGTTCAAGCCAATCCCATTCCAGGCAGACAAGACAGCTAGAGGAGTTGGAGGAAGAAAACATGGCCATCACCCAGTCACACGTAGCTGGAGGATTGGTCCTAGTCCTGACAGTGCTCCAGCAGTCACAGTGATGAGGAAGGCCACCATGCTTGTGACTACCCTGCCTGTGTGGTTCCCACTCTGGACCACCTTGCACCTTTTCTGACTGTACTTGGGTCAGGGCTGGGTGTCAGCACCGCAGAAGGCATGCCAACCTTCCTGCTGCCATCTCAGCCCATGTGGCATCAGGGCCCACATTACTGCCTGGTCAGAGGGCAAGTGCTTCAGGCCCTTCCCATGACCATGCTTCTGATGCCAGAGGCCCCTCAGAGGAACAGAGCTAAAATCAACAGTGTCAGAGAAAACCCCATCAACAGATAGAGGCCACCCATTCTCGTTGTAAGCCACACAGTGAGCTCACCCAGACCTGCTGCTTACACTGGACGTGCCTGCACTGCTAGTGTACAAGAGTGAGTCTCTCTAACTCTGAAACACTGTTCAAACTCACTGAGTGACATGGAGATGACACTGGAGCCCAGCCCAAATCGAAGCCAACATTTCATAATAAGGCCCCAAGACATATCTCCAGGAAAATCTACTCACTAAAAAAGATAACCCCATAAAAGTGGTAGTGATATTTCATCCACCAAAAGTTTACATCTTAATGTAGGAGGACAAGAAATATGAAAGAACAAGCTAATACATGCCACAAAAAGATCATCATGCTTTAGCAACAGATTTCAAAGAAATCAAAATGGGTGAAATGACTGATAAATAATTCAAAAGAACAAGTTTTGAAAAGCTCACTAAGTTTTGAAAGAATACAGATAAACAGTTCAATGAAATTAGGAATATGATGCAGGATATACATGAGAAATTCAGCAAGGAGATAGAGGTTCTGAAAGAGAACGAAGCAGAAATCTTGGCAATAAAGAGCTTAAATAGTAAAAAAAAAATTAGTCAAAAGCCTCAACAATGAAGTAGATTAAGTAGAAGAATATCTGAACTTGCAGATGAGTTTTTTTTTTAAGTATCCCATGCAGACCAAAAAAAAAAAAAAAAAAAAAAGAAAGGAAAAGAAACAAAGACAGCACTCAGGATCTTTGGGTAAGTTTAAGGATAGGTGTGCTCGCTTTGGCAGCATATATACTAAAAAAGGATAGGCACAGAAAACCTATTCAATGAAATGATAGTAGAAAACTTCCCTAATCTTGGGAAAGAAATGGATATGCATCTAAGCAGGGTTATAATACTCCAAATAGACGTGGCCTAAAGGACTTTCACCATGATACATTATGATTAAACTGTCAAAAGTACAAGATGAAGAAAATTTTTTTAAATCTGCAAGAGAAATGTGCCAAATCACATTTAAAGACATCCCTATTAACCTAAGAGTTGTCTTCTCATCAGAAGTTCTGCAGGACAGGAGTAAAAGGAATGACATATTCCAAGTGCTGGAAGAAAATAACTGCAAATGCTAATTACCATATCTAGAAAAAGTATCCTTTAGAATGGAAGGAGATAAAAAATAAAGTCATTCCAAGATAAGCAAAATGGGAGACCAGCCTTAGAAAGATGCTAAGGGAGCCCCACATCCATAGGGAAAGAAGGATAACCACCATCATGGAAGTGTGTGAAAGTATGAACCCCACTGGAAGGGTGGATATACAGAAGACAAAAAATGCCTATATATTATCAATACAGTAAAACTTCAAAGACATCAACCTTCAAAGACAAAGAAGAGAAGAACAAAGAATACTCAAAACAAACAGAAGAAAAATAACAAAATAGGAGGCATAACTTCATACCTTTTTTTTTTTTTTGGTACCGGGGATCGAACTTGGGTCCTTTCGCTTGTGCAGCAGGCGGTGAAACCGCTGAGCTAAATCGCGGGCCCATAACTTCATACCTTTTAATAATAATGATGAACTACAGGCTTGCTAAAGGATTTTAAAAAAAAGAATGCTGTCTAGAAGCAACTAACCTCACCAGTATACACACACACACACACACACACACACACACACACACACACACACAGAGAGAGAAAAAGTGAAAGAATAGGAAATAATATTTCAAGCAAATAGAACCCTATACTTATATCTGACAAGATAGACTGTAAGATAAAAATTGCAGTACAGACCAACAAGATAGAGATTGTAAATTTATAGGAACCTAATGTTAGAGCACCCAGATTCATAAAGCAAATACTATTATAACTGAAGCAAGAGATAGATTCCAGTCAAGTAATTATGGAGGATGTCAATACCACCTCTAATCAGAGTTAAACTTTACTGTAGACAAGATGG